ATATAAATATTCAAAACTAAGTGGATTAAAATGTGCACAGTAAAGACATTAAATGATTAAATCTTTTCACTACCAACCAATGCACCACGAGTGCCCCTGTCAGTCATTTTGGCCAGCCAATCACTTACCGCGGTGCCCTCCGGTGCCCTGCGGGTAGGTTACTGTACCGCGGGTTTTTACCGCCCATTTTGAATGGCTACATCTGTATATTGACATTTTTTTATATTTCTAAATATCACAACATGTTTGAAGCTAGGTCATTTATTAAGAACAATGAATAATTTGAAGCTGCTACTTCTGTTGTTATTACTGATAATAAATATTATTGACCATATATTGAATTTGTTGGTATTTCTAAATATCACAAAAAGTTCAAATTTAATACTATTAGTAATATCTTCCATAAAGACTTTGATGCATAAAATATTTCAGCATAATTAAATAGAAATAGAAAAATAGAAAATTTAAAATGCTGCCTTGAGGAAGTCTGAATAAAGTGTGGAATTTGTCTATGGTCAAAAGCGCAAGCACCTTGAGTTAGGAAACTGGTTTTGCTAAAAATATTACTATTGTTACTTTGTTTTCAATTCCAGCACTGTACCCCTGGGTCCAGATCAGATTCTTCTGCGGGGAGCCCAGCTGAGAAATACCCAGTGGGTTCATGGGATTGTTGTCTACACAGGGCATGATACAAAACTGATGCAGGTATACCCTTCCTTGTGTTGGATCAATGTCCATTCATTTAATGAATTGTTTTGAGGCTAGTTTCACAACAGCTTATTGTTCATATTAATATGTCCTCCGTTAGATAATGTACTTTGCATGCATTTCTTTTGTATTTGTTTATCATTCTCTGAAAAAAAATGTTATTTCCATAAACCATAAAATAAATATGAATAACTTGAATACCAAGTGTAACTTCACAAACCCATGCAGTACTGACAAAAATCATGAAATGGTTTGATCTAAAAATTAACCAAAATATGGTTAATTTAATGTCCAACTGAGGAGATGAATCATGTTTATAATGCAGATCTGTATATGTATTACATTTTTTTAGTATGTTATATAGTTGTGATTTATATGCTGACATGATGTTTAGGAATTTTGAATTTGTTTTATTCTTAAATCAGTGAAATATGTGTTTTTTTAATGTTTACTAAACAGATGCTAACAGCTAGTAACAGTGTTACATGCTGTTTTTTACAAGAATTAATGTAACATTGATATGAATGTACTACAAAAAGCCAACTATTGCATTGACAAATTTCTGAAGCAAAAATGGTAGAATACATCAAGCACTATTTTTATGGACCTGTCTCTCAGCACAAATCAAGCAACCCAAATCAGGAGAACGCAGCCTCAGAAAATTATACTAAATGTAAAATATAAACAGAAAATAACTTGTTTACAGATCCAGCCATTCCAAATTTGCGAGGTACTCGGCATTAAAATGCAGTGAGCATGGCGCATCATACCGCATGTGGTGCTAATTAAGCTTAACGTCTCATGTACAGCATTTGGGCCAGAAAACGCCCGCTTTCGAATCCCGGTCACTGCTGAGGGACAATCTTTTTCCAGTTAAGAATTTAAGTTGTATTCTCTTTAGATTTTTAATAATTTTAAACTGTGTATTACAGCATGTTATTCATTAAACATTAAAAAGCCGGTATATTTTATAAAAGCAAGATTGCACAGTTGGACAAAAGTACACAACCTTCCACCTTCATCATAAATATTTTAATTATGCATTAATTTTTTGCATCAAGTCTTTAACTTGGTAACTTAGATTGGTCCTGGGTTTAACATGCTTGTTCTAACATTATTAAGCTTATATTCTGTTTTTCATAAAAAGTTATAATGTTTTATCCTTTTCTAAGAATACGTACGTAGTAAGAACACCACTTGCTGTTACTGTAAAAAAAAAAGTTGTACTGATTTAATACCACTTGATAGTAATATTAATATGGAGTAGTGTAACTAAACAGCTAAAATATTTTGGAAATTATTTAGTACATTTTGGAAACATTTTGACATTCATTTTTTGTAAAGCTTGTATTGTTCTTATCGTGGTAATGGATAACTTACTCCAATTACATGTACAGCAATGTTGAAACAGTACAGAATGTTGAAACCGTACTATGACAGTGGAGATGTGTTACACCTTCAAATAAGCCAGTGACTGTTGTTTACTATGTTGAGATGAAGTTGTGTAACTCTGCGGAAATTATTCTGTACAGTTATAGAGCAGACACGTTGTGTATTGCCTCATACACTTGTTAAAATGTTCCAATTTTGATGTGATATGGAAGATATTATTAATAGTATTAATAATGAGTGACCTTGGACAGGTTGTAAGCTCAAAGTATTAATGTGGACCGCTTTCTTTGTAAACATCTCCATCAGTTTAACTCATTCACCCGTGATTACTTGGAAACTTTTTGCCTGCCCTATTCAGGTACAGCTTAAGTTGTTAAGTGGCGCGTTGGTGTAATGTCTTAGGCGTGTGCCTTGCATGCTGGAGGTAGGGGATTCGAACCCAGCTGTCGATATGAGTTTTCTTTGAACAAATAAACATTTATTTGAAAAACTAAAATAGCAAATATTATGGACACTATATTGACATTGTTTTTTACCTACCTCTACCCCCCAACCTTTGGGGGACCTCTTTTATTTTTTATGTTTACACTCTGACCCTACACAGAGATCAGCTGTCCACTGAGATGCACACCTATCAAAATACTTGTCTGACCTTGCATTAAGAAGGTTGTAAAATGTTCAAGCCTTCACTTGTATATTAGTCTATAGTTTATTAGCAATAGTTTACAGCAGTAATGATCCATTACTTGTTTTAATTCACTTAACAGAAAGGTTTTAGACAGTAAACTTTTATGTTTTGAGTAATTTAAAATGTATTTTGCTGCAAGAGATGTTTGATGACATAATTCAGAAAAGGACAACAATTTGTTATCTCTAATCATATGACCCAATTTACTAACACCTACTTGATTCCGTACTATACCAAGACAGTATAGTTAGTCTTGGTGATCTAAATAATGCTTGATGTACTGATAATGAAGTGTCATAAGATAAGTTTTTTTTGCAGCTTTTTAATATTTTAAAAGAAGACCCAATTGATGTTTCAATTAAATATTTAGGATATGCCTTGCTATAATACAAACTTTCTAAGGAGATACCTAGCTCCGATGCTGTATCATGCTCTGTTTGTACCCAATCCTTTACTATTTCTGATTTAAATCACCTTTGCTTGAACTGAGCCAAATGCCAAGTAATAATTGTAGAAATTAGGTAGGTCTAACCCACCTTTATTTTTTGCTGCACTTTCTTTCAAAAGAACAACAAGCTTTTTTCCCTTTTCAGTCCAAAGATGTAATCATTTTATGCAGTGCCTCAAACCATTTCTTGTCAATCTTTAAAGGTACCATTCTCAGTGTATAATTTACTTTAGGTAGTGTTGGCATCTTGACTATATTAATTCTAGGCCCACATGGAAATAGGTAAACATTTCTATCTGAGTATGTCCCCATTTATTTTAACAAGTCTCTTAAATTAACATCTTTGGCAGCCCCAGATACCCTATCTCTGTTGTAACTCTGGGTGAGCAATCTTATGATTCAATGATAATGAATTGAGTTACATAAGCTCCGTTCTGCTCCAGTTGACCTTATAACCTGACATCTTGCCAAAACATTCAATGACATCTACTGCTGCTGAGAGTTTTATGAACACCTATACCTTATATCTGGGCTGATGCTCTTATTTTGCAGGCTAAAGGTTCGAGTGCTAAATTAAATAGTAAAGGTGAAATAGGACACTCTTGTTTGGTGCCTCTATATAAACAGAAAGGTTTGGATATACAGCTGTTAGTCACTGTAGATGCCTGTTGACTGCGATATAAGATTCCAACCCATTTATTAAAATATGGGCCATAACCAAACAATTTTAGCACATTAAATGAGTATTTCCATTCAACTCTTTCAAAGGCCTTCTCAGCATCCAGTGTGCATATAGCTGATTTTGATTTACTGAGTTTAGCATGATGAATCAAATTAAACAGCTTTCTTGTATTATCTGAAGAATATCTATTTTTCATAAATCCTCTTTGATCTGGATAAATGATTTTTGGAAGCACCTTACCTAACTGATTAGCAAGTTCTATAGCTAGAAACTTATTGTCCTAGTTCATTTAGCTTATTAGGCGGTAACTACTACACAATGATGGATCTTTACGCTTCCTATATAGAAGGGTTATTAAAGACTCCCTAAATGAAAGTGAAGTCGTGTCTGTTAACCACATATTATTAAATGTTTGCAGTAAGATATCGAAGTATCGACTGAAATGTCTGGTAGAACTCAGCTGTATATCCATCAGGTCCAGGTGATTAATATCGTGAGAAAAGGAAGCAATTGCTTCTTTAACTTCTGATAGAGTGAGAGATGACTCAAGAATGTTTCTGTCTTCTGTACTAAGTTTTGGGAGCTCTGTATCTGCAAAAAAGCACTGCATATATTGACATTTTTGATATCTCTAAATATCCCAACATGTTTGAAGCTATGTGATTTATTAATAACAATGAATAATTTAAAACTGCTTGTGTTTTAAAATTGTATTTTGTTTGGGGTGATTTGTCACTCACTGTTTTCACAACCTTCAATTTATAGAAGTGTGCTCTGTACAATGATATAGACGTGGGTAATGTCATCCGCATTAAACAATGCGCTTATCGCACAAATCCTGCTAATCTAGAAATTAGAAGAGTATTATTGGACAATGTTCTTGGGCTATGGCGGAATTTCTCTGTAAACTGAAGAGTTATGGAGGAGACACGTTGTGTATTGCCTCTTTTTACACTTTTAACAACATTCCAATGTTAATGCAACATAGAAGAAATTATTTACAACCTTTTAAATCTGAAGCTGTTAACTCTACCTTACACAAAATAAAAAAAAAAAACATCAAACCTGTGATTGGATGAGATGTCATGATTGTTTTGCAAGGATGTGAAACATGACAATTTGTTACAGTTACCATCAGGACAAAAAAAAAGTGTATTTTTTATTTATTTATGGCTGCTGCAGTGGCTTGCAATGGCTGGATAGTTAACACTTCCCAATTGCTTTGTCAGTCTGTCCGTGGGGGGAAGGGTGGAGCTCTCCTTGACAGCTGACACTCCTCCATACTCCATAAGTGAACAATTAGTTAAAACACCAATGTAAACATCATATTTACAATTTGTTTAAAATAAAAATGGTTGTTAAGTTCCCAAAAGCTTTCTCAGTCAAGAATGACAATTCACGTAGGGAGCTGTGTAAGCATGCGTATTCAGGAAAAGATTGGCTAAAGAAGAAAGAAAACGCTTTCAGAAAAAACAATGTTTCAGGTGTGAAAAATAAAAACGCCCTTTCAATTGCAGCCTAAACCTTTCCCCACATACCCTGCCCCTGCTGCAATTGGAATATACACAAACAAAGCACTGAAAGCTTTACAGTAGATGATCAGGTGTTCGGAGACATAGGGATAGTACGTACAGATGCAGCCATTCAAAATGCGCGGCGATACCACATTATTTTCCGGTGCGCTGTACGCAGTCTACCGCGAGTTACTGTAAATTCTCCTATAATACCGCAAGCAAAATAATAGTATCCGGAATTTCCGCAAGGTGGAGCTAATAAAGCTCAACCTC